TTGCACTAAAACTCTTATCAGCACTTGCCATAGATAGTGCCAAGCACTACAACAGTTAACATGTTAAACTTGTAATAAAGTTTTCTTTTTCACCCATTCAACCCATCTTTAAGCTGTATAATTTTACCTTACCTAAGTTGCCTGATGTCTTCTTGTTTAAGAAATTTCTATAGCTTTCAAACAGACATAATTCAACTCACAAGTATTTTCACAATTCATGAGTTGAAAGGAACATTAATAGAAACTGCAAAGATAATTCTTAAACCTATATATTTATTCTACTATTATATGATATTATAATTCTTATTCTATCCAATCATATTTTAACTTTCTTTATAGCTGTTTTCAAACCTGTGCTTCATTAGTAAATTAGAGGGGCATTTAGTAGAGTGCATACCTCCACCATTCAGTGTTGATCATATTCGGTTCTCAAAAGAATATGAAAATGTGTCCATCTGTCTGTCGTTATCAATGGACACAAACCATTTTTGGCAGGACAATGAGGAATAATATTCTACATATGTCTACCAATTTCCATCAAAATCTGATAATTTTTGACTAAGTTATAGAGCAAGTATTGTGTGAAAAATCAGTCTCCATGTATGTTAACAGATAGGGATTGTTTTGGATTTTCGTGACCTTGACTCTCCAAAAACTAATTACTTCTAAGTTGTGTCATAGTCCAAATGTATACAAACTTTCGCCCAAATCCGTTCAGCTGTTTTCAAGAAATCTTGCTGACACACATACAGTTGAAAACATAACCTCCATCCACTTTTGGTGGCTGAGGTAATGATAAAGCCACTTGGTGTGGTATCATAGCAATGTTTAAATCAAAGAGAAACACTTGAAAATCAAGAAACCAATAATAGCTTCTCAACGTCTGATAGGTTGTTAGGAAAAATAGTAAATTTTGGACACTCAGAAAATTTCTAAAATAAATCGACAAAACTCTTTGCAGCTGTGCATAAATGAAAATCTTAACATTATTTTCTTCATGAATTAGACTAAATAAGTGTCAGAAAATGACAAAAGATTGATTATAAGATATATTTCAGTTGAAACTGTTGAAATATAGTTAGAATTAACATATAAAATTGACTTTAAAATTTATGTACAAAATTTTTTACCAAGTACCAAAACAAAAGCCAGAAGAAATCCTGTCTTCAAACTTTGTTGAACCCCATTCATTAAGTTACTTTTTAATCTTAAACTTTATACTTAAAAATGTATCATACATGCATGCAACTGCATTATTTAACATTTAAAAACAATAAAGATATATCCATTTACCAGTCACCTGTTTCAACAATACTATGTACAATTTTCTAGACTTATGATAATTATGGCATTTTTAAGTCCTTTTTTAACTCTCCATTTAGTATCCTAAGTTAACATAAGTATGTGAATAATACTGTTGTACTGCACCAAATTTACTAATCAATAGTACACAGTGGGCCAACTATTTGATGATGATATTACAAACACATTTTTTTCTTTAGGTTACTAAGTGGTGCGTTAAAAAAAGAAGAGAGAGTTAAATAAACTACCAATATAAAAGACCTTACTGTAACCCTTTGGTTTGCTGGCCTAAGCTGCACTGATTAGCCTTGAATAGACAAATTTGCAGTCCACAGCCTGGGGTACAGCAAATCAAAGAATATAATAGCTCTCTACTTCACAGATTATATTTTCAATTCTACCTTTGGCAAAAGAAAAAAGAGAAATCTATAATATTGTCATTTTTCAGACAATTTAGTATTATTTTACATACATATAAGCATGTTTATGATAGGGGAGTTAACACAGTTTACACATTAACCAAGTGTCAGACATTTTGAATTTTGCTTAATTCATTAAATGTTTAAAATGTGCAAGTCATATATTAAGAAATCAAGGGCTGCTCAGAAGTTCTTTTATTTTTTACTTCCTACTTTTGTCATGAGGCATTACTGGCAGATAGTGAGATTCATGTTTACCTTTACATTAGTAAAAAACAGGTCATGCTGCAACTCAGTTTTGGACAAATTCCGTTATTGCTATAATTATTATTACATACATTTATCAAATAAATATTCCTCCTAAATTGAATATAAAACTATAACAGAAAATAAAATACTCAAAATTATAACTATAAATACTACTGGATCTAGTGTGGAGAACACAGGTGCCCAAACAAATAATTATGCAAATATATACGACAGTACAGCTAGCATACTATTTCTAAGATAATGTAATTAATGCTCTTTGTTTAATCAAAACAAACTAGTATCATACCCCAGATGCAATTACTATTTGCATTACTTCACTATTCTTAAATATCTATAAAATGTGCAGTATTTAATGTACATGTGTGTATATGTATATATTATTGGCAGATTAAGGCAGGGGCTATTATGACTGTAGCCTCAAGCTCGGACTAAAAAATTCCCTTTACAAGGTTTAGTTCTTTTTTTACCTCTGTCTTTAGTCACAAACATAATAGGCCTGGTAGAAGACTTTAGCCCTAGGCTCAACTGACCCTTATATATATATATGTATACTACTAAAAACTCTGAGATTGTTTGTGTGTGTGCTTGTCTGTAATTAAATACAGCAAAAACAGCACACAATAGCACCATATTTGTAATGAAATGAGAATAAAACAAGTTTCGTTAAAATCGGGCCACAGGTTACCGAGTTAGCCCCATTTTTCGGGTCACTTTTATTAAATTTCTAGATGAATTTAGGTACACTAGATGGCGCCACAACTGTCAACAGTTTCAAAATAGAAATTCTACATATTTTAACATGCAATCATTTCATCTATTAACAGTCTCAGAGCAACAATTTTAAATTGTGTACTTAAAATAACATTAATCATTTTAATTATTCATACTTACACAAGAACCTTGAATTTTAACCTTTTAATAGTATTATTGTGTTAAAAAATAAAAACATGTTTAACTTTTCCTCATAATCTATAGTAATTACATTCACAAGGGAAAGCTACCAGGAAGCTATCATAGGGGTAGATCTAAAATTTCCAAATGGCAAATATGATAACCAGACACTCTTATTCAATCACAGAGTAGTTCTTCTCACTACTCAACAGCATTAACTGACACAAGTTCCTGAAAACAGTCTGTCTTCCTGTTCTTGCAGAAGTACTGTTCCAATTCCAGCATCTGAAGCATTGGCCTAAATGATGAATGGTTTGTTGAAGTCTGGCATACTAAGGATTGGTGAACTTCCTAACATGTTTTTCAACTTCTGAAATGCCATTTGTAGTGGTTGTTCCCACTTCACCTTGTTGGGTTGGCCATTCTTGGTCAGATCAATCAGTGATTAAGCATCTTCAGCATAGTTTGAGATGAATTTTCTGTAGTATCTTGCTAACCCCACGAAGGATTTAACTTCCTGCTTGGTCATTGGAGCTGGTGCATCTTGTATGTGGGTTAGTTTCTTTTCCATAGCTATCTGTCAGTCACCCACCTTGTATCCAACAAAGTCCAGCACAGAATAACCAATGTAGCACTCAGATAGTTTGATGGTCACATTTTCTTGATGTTGAGGTAGAATGATACAAAGTTTAAATTTGGGTTCAAGTAGATCTTCAGATATGCATTATCTTCAGAAATACTATTCAACTCTTTGCACCACACAGAGCTATTACCTCACATGCACTGCCATGTAATTTCCTGCACATGTCACAAACCTTGAATAAAGCTCTCGCCCTTATACATGTTAACCTGAATTTCAATAGCCTATGATGTAATCATCATTTGACTATAGCTTTCCACCAATTTAAGGGTAACACATCTTCTATCCATAGTAATCCCCATGAGCATTAGCATTTGAATGCTCATTCTTTCCATGGCACTGCTGCATTTTAGGCATGTTTATTCTTGTGCTTTTTTTTTTGTCCTTTGTGGGAATTGTGTGAAAATGTTTATTCTTGTGCTTTTTTTTTGTCCTTTGTGGGAATTGTGTGAAAATGTTTATTCTTGTGCTTTTTTTTTTGTCCTTTGTGGGAATTGTGTGAAAATTTGTTCTTTATCTTGAGCTATTCTTTCTTTGTCTCATGCATTTTATTTGTCTTAGTTTTTTTTTTCTACTATGAGTACCTTCATCTGTCTTATCATCTTATAACTGCATGTGTAAATATAGACTGCAAAAAGCTTTCTATTCATGAGTCATTTTTTTACCACAAATTCTGAGATCCATGAGTCTGCTACTTCTTGAGGCTTGACACTTCAGGATTCTCTTCTGTTATTTCAACAGTAGCCAGAGACACTTTATCTGTCAACAATGTGACCACCATTGTACATCAGGCGGTAGGTACTGGTGGATGTGCATAATCTAATCCTAATCACATCATAGTCTGGCACACTACACATTATTACAGACAGGGATGTAATTTTCATTCAAAGGCTTGGCATATGTACAAAAACTTTTTGACACTGGTGCAAGGTATTAGTTATCTGTTCTGTGAAGAAGTGAACATTTTTTGAACCTAATGTTATGACATGTACATTAAATATTACATAACAATCACTAAGAACTCCTCCTCAATACATAACATAGTAGAACATCCAAAAATCCAAACTTCTTCACACATTTATCAGCATTATAAGGAATATTGTGAGGTATGCCTACAAATGTTGACTTTAGAGTTCTATGTCAACTATAAGATAATCAAATGTTTTGTATTAAAGAAACTTTATTCATTCAACTGTAAAATAATAACTAAATCTTAATTGGTCTGCTTTACAACTTCTTTTAATACTTCATAAACACCAGAAATGACTATTGTTTTTTTACATGCATATACATGTAAGTCATACATATTGTTCCAATTCCCTACCAGACTATAAAAAAAAGCATGAATGTGTCTGTGCCTTGGAAATTCTGATTTAATTTTTACTAACAGAAATCAAAACTTAACAAGAAGTATTCTTTATAAATACAAACATGCATATGTATATGAACCCAAAAATTACTGACAAATATGCACTTACCTCATGAATAGACACTTGCTTCTCAAAGTCTGCCAGTCCAACACTTTGGGACAAAAATGTTGTAATATTTTGTTTCAAGTCTCTCTCGACAGACTTAGACCGACTGCTTTTGCGTCGGCGCTGTTGTAATTCTTCACAGGTGATGAAATGTTTCATTACTGGTTTAATGTTTGATTCATTTACTGCATTGGTAACTGATGTTACTGATGAAACAACAAATGCTGATAACGAGTTATCACTAAGATTGGTTAAAGATGGTTGAGAAATAGCATGAGAAAGTCTATTGAAGTTAAATTGTTCTGTTGATGGTCCTGGTCTTTTCTTATTGCCTCCTTGATGAGAACTCAACTGCTGTGTCGCAGCCTTTATGGTTTTACTTATTCCTTCCTTTTCTGTCTGTTTTTTGGCTTCATCTGAAATACTTGTATCCAGATAACGATATTTGGAAACATATTTATGAACACCATGGTGGTATTTTTCTTCTTCTAATGGGTGTAGTGGAGATTCCGTTTCATCAGATTCATCAGTATCAGGTTTACCTTTTGATTTCTTTTTCTTTGAATCTGCTTTCTTTGCTTCATCATTACTGAAAGTTGTAATAAGACATATGTACATATGTGTGGGGGGGGAAGCATATATGTGTACATACATAATGACAACAAAAGACATTGTGTGTGTGTGTGTGTGTGTGTGTGGTACAGTTAAAGCTCATTATTATTTAATTCACAGTCTAAGCTATATTTTAAATTGTTTCAATTGTATTGCATTAATTTTTAAATCAAAAGGATATACTCCATACATGTAATTATGATACAGAAAAATCACTGCAACATACACCAAACTTAACAACTAGCCTAAACACTTAAGATTATTGAAAAGTCAAAATGTAATGAAAGAAACACTGATCACATTCCTTTTCCAAAGAAAGCTAATGAGATTCACTATATTAAAATCAAATGTAAAAAAAGTATTTTTGGATGATTTGATTACAAACCAGGTTGACTGAAACAGCGATGTAAGTTTTTTTGAATGAGATTATCTGAGGAGATCAATATTTATTTGAGAAAAGTATTAACGTTGACTCATAGGTAAAGTATGGGTGCAACTGTCTTATCCCCAGAAAATGAGAATGGAAACGCTGAATATTTTGAGCCTACATGTAGTATGGTGAAGTTACACACCAATTTCTTGTTAAACAAAAATTAATTCAGAAATGAGTTTGCACATCACATGACATACTTCACAAACACTCATACAACAAGAAGGGCTCTAATGTGCATGAAACAGGCATGTGATAAACATTTCTAGCGGTGGGTAAGCCATATGAAACCAGACTTCATGCTCTCTTAAGAACCCCAACAATGTCCCAACACATCAGTTGCCATAAACTTGTACCAAACAGATTAGCCTTAAAGATAGAATAGGATCTGGTTCCTCAACAATTCAATTATGAAGAATTTTATATTAAAGAAAAGAGTATCAAGTAATTATATTTTTAAACAGATTGCTGAATTAAAGTGGTGATCTAAAAATCTTAGATTGAATATTTTACAATTAGTATGTGATGCTTTCACATAATTTTAAATAAGTACTTTTATATTTAACTTATCGCTATCTTTATTCCTTTCATATGATAAATTTATCTGAGTCACCTGGATCTATAGCTATGAATGAAATCTGGTAGAGTATATAAAAGTTTTCTTACAAAAGCTAAGCAAATTCAAACAACAGGAGGAGGAGGGGAGAGTAAAACCAGCATCTCCTTACCTTTGATAAGATTATGAAACAGCTATTCAAATTAGACCCAAGACAAACTGTTGCACATAAAGACTGTTGTAGAAGCTAAACACAAAACATTACTCAATATAATGCAATATGTAGACTCAGTGGTAGAGTTATGATTAGTGTCACGTAAAATAATAAATTAAGTGACATTGTAATTAATTTGATTCATGGAATGAAAATAACCTATTAACTGATTTTCTTAAATTTTTTGCAAAGCTATTTGAGGGCTATCTGCATCAGCTGTACTTAATTTAGCAGTGATAGAATAGAGGAAAGACCTTTAGTCACCAGCACCACAGCTGAAAGGACAGGCATGTTCAGTAACAAAGGTTAGAACCTGTGACCTACCAATTGAAACTGGTAGTTTTGATTATTCCAAGGAAATACGTAATTGAAATATTGCCATTATGATTTCTCATTATTATATTCATTTAATTCACATTTGTTCAGCTTAATCAATTAGTGTTAAGTAATCAAAATTAGTATTTCCAATTATTGCTATTTCTTATTATTCCAACTATCCAATTCTTACGTGAGATTAGTTTAATTTATTTTAAATGGGCATATAAATGACAGATGGCTTTTCATTATAATAAAAGCAAGGTAGTGAATGTGGGATATCATAATTTGAATTATAAGTATAAATTTGATGGGAATAACCTTAACAGTGTTACAGAAGAAAAGGATTTTGGTGTTCTGGTTGATCAGTTTCTTGAGCCATCCAAGCAGTGTGTTGTTGCTAGTGGCAGGACAAACAGATCATTGGATAGGCTACATTTGGAGAATTGTGTTCAGTCTTGGGCTCCTTACCTCAGAAAGAACACTGAATTAGTGGCAAGGGTTCAGAGGAGGGTTACTAGGATGATAACTGGGAAGAAAAGGTTATCATAAAACCATTGGTGTTACAGTGACATATTAAGCTATGTGAAATTGTTTTCTCTTGAAAAATGAAGAGTTAGAAGGGATCTGATTGAGGTGTTAAAGATTGCTAGAGGTATAATCTTTTTTTTCATACTACACGACTAGTGAGAATGGTAAGGCTAGGTGACACAAATATGAATTTTAACAAGGTACGAGTCATTTTCAGCTAAAACAGCTTTATTTCTTAACAGAGTGGTTGGCTTTTGGAATGGGCCTTCCGGTGTGGTAGATGCAGTTGATCTAATGAAGTTTAGGAGAATGGTTTATCAATATTTGTATGATAAGGGTTGGCTTTGAATGTATTATTTTATGCTAGAGTTCAGCATAGCACTAGCAGATGGGTTGGACTAGATGTCCTTAAATTAAATGTACGTGTATATGCATAAAACTTAAAACTCAGTATTCACCAACTCCCACATTTAATTAGTTTCAAAATAAAAGTAAAATGAGGATAACTGCGCTTGGATTAAACTTGAATATTTTCTGTTCCAAAAATCCGCCTGCAGTAGAAGTAGAAAACGAGAAAATATGAACGTCAAATAAAAATATATATATAGAATTTAATTTTAAATAACAATAACATTAACAGAACTGTTACTATAACTACAAGTTAGAGTACAACTAAAGCAAACTTTAATAAGCTTGAAACTAAGGTTCGTTATATTGTACCTAACCTTTCATCGTCTTCGTCGTTTTCTGCGGAATCTGAATCTTCATTGGATGAGCTGCTTGATCTGTTTACATAAAAGTCTGAGCTATCACCAACTTTATCTTCACTGATAGATTTCTCATCCATTCTTGTTGTTCGGCTTTAAAGAATGCTGCAAACCAAAATGTCAATTCCCAAGATTGTGTTATCATCCACCTCTTTTTTTTTTTTTCTTCAGCAAGATAACCTAAGTAACCTTACCAATACCATAGACACAGATAAACCACCTGACTATTAGGAACAACTTAAGCGCCCTCTAAAGTTGCTGATTTGAGAGCATAAAAAAAAACCTTCTACGCTTTTCATTGTAACATAAAAATAGAAAAAGGTATAAAGACACTATATCTTCAATTCTCTTTACACCCTCTATAATTGTCCTACAGAATTCATGTATATTGAAAAAGCTTTTTGAAATGTTTTGAATAATCTTTAGAAAAGTATATGTTTGCTATATGATAATATTTTCGCTCTCAAAAATTATGGACTAGTAGTATATAAAATATGTATGCTAACTTATTGTTTTGATATTGAAACAATGTTGTGGTGCTATTATGATATCTTTCAGGCAGCCATCGGAGCAAAGAAGTTAAGCTAAAAACTGGAGGTTCTCGGCACAGTATTTTTCCCGAATATTCGCAACAAATAAATCACGAGAAAGAGACAAAACACAGAATCACACAAGTAACAGAGGTAGTGGTTCACAAACAATAAAATACAACAAACAATACTCTATAAGTTACAAACCAATAATGAAATACACAATAATACAGTAGGCAAGTGATTGGTGTATGTTTGACTGGCAAGAGCTGAATGAGGGCTTTTTAAAAGAAAATGACTTCATTTAAGTTAAGATACAGTAATTATTTGATTTCTATTACAAAATATTCACTAAAAACGCAGCAATTCTAGAAACACTTCACACTTAAAGTGAAGTAAACACTAAGTTAACATTACAATCTTAAAATCATTAAATGCTTTGTTTCTTTGTTTATTTTAGGGTAACTCCACATTGGGCTATCTGTTGTGTCCACCGCGAGCTTTAGCAATTGTTTAACCCAGCTCGCCACTTCAAGAAAATGAAAGTTATTAATTCACTTAAGTTTATCCTCGTGTCCAACCAGAGAATTATGAAAAACAGCATAATATTGAAATATAATTTTTTGAATAAAAAAATCGTGAAACATACAGTACATCCCTCTACTAACTGTAATAGCATTTCAATACACCACTGGTTTTTATTTCTTGTAATACTATAATATTTATTCTGATATTCATTCTTTATCCAGAATATGTGCAGGTTTCACATAAAACGTGGTCGAAAAAACCGTTACATTAATCTTGTTTTGGTTAACCTTTATTCATTTTACTCTCGGGAGTATTATCCGAGTATATAATACTTGGAGAACATTGCTTAATATGAAACGTTGTGTCAAAATATCGGCAGTATTGTCCTTCAATGATTCTTTGAGTGATGTCTAGCGGCTATTACCTCACCTATGTTTTAATCAGAGAGCAGGCACATAAGAAGCCCATGTCTGTCTGGGTCAGTGTGAGAGTTCTAACCTAAATAAGTGTCATTTAAACAGTCTGAAAACCGATTAGTGTTTGTGAATCAGCAAGAAAGCAATTCTAAGTCAGTAACACTGACTTAGCAAAGACATAACTGTGAGCTAATTGGCAAACAGTATTAGTGAATCACCAATAAAATAATTGAGAGTCAGTCAGTAAACAAATTAGTATTTGTTAAAAAAGCAATAAAATATTTATGGATAAATCGACAAACCGATTGGTGTTAGCTAATCCAATAGTATATACCTTTGAATGAATCAGCAAACCCAGTGTTAGTGAATCAATCAGTATAACGACTGATGTTATTGAATTGTCAAGAACATAATGGTAACTTTATCCGCAAATTTATTAGTGTTATTCAATCGGTAGGAAAATAACTACGAGTCAATCAGCAAAGTGACTATTTTCATAATTCTTGGTAAATCAATAAAGAAAATTATAGCCAAATTATCAACCCGTTTACTCTCAGTAACAATAACACAAATTCCAGTCAATCAGTAAATCACCAAGCGAGTAGCTTTAAACCAAAGAGCAAATAACTTAGCGTTAGATAATGAAGAAGTAAATGGTTTTGAGCCAATCAGCAACCAATTATTGATACTCAACAACCAAGAAAAAATGAGGGATCAATCATAAAACCGTTGAATGTTAGTGAATCAGCAAACCGAATAACCTTAGTGACTTAGCAAGAACGAAAATGTGAATCGATCAACACACCAATTAGTGTTAGTGAATCGACAAAACTATAACTATGAATCAGTTAGAAAACTGATTAGTTTTATGCATCAATATGAAAATATTGAAGCAACAAACTGGGTAGTTTTAGTGAATTAACAAAATGAAAATTGATAATCGATCACCAACACAATTATTGTTTATTAACCAACAAGAGTAGAACTGCAAGAACATAATTTTGAATCACTCAACAAAAAAACAAAACAAACAATATCAATCAATCAATTAGATACTTGCAAGTTAAATAACAAACCATTTATGTTTATATTTATTAACTTGTCTTTCATAAAGGGTATTTACACGAGAGAAACATACGAGTTTGTTTTACTAAAGTGTAGTCACATGAGAAAAACGAATGAATTTGGTTTCCTCAGTGAAGTCACACGAGAAAACATACAAGTTTGGTGTACTAAAGTGCAGTCACACGAGGAAGAGATACGAGTTTCGTTTAATAAAGTGTAGGCACACGAGAAAAAATATGAGTTGGGATTGCCGAAATGTAGTGTTGCGTCAGTGAGGTCACGTGACTAGTGTCACGCCACGTTTTCTAGAAATATCTTGTTCCTTCGTGAATGTCCTAGCATTTAC